AACATTCGGCAAAGCTTGGCAGATCCTGAGATATCAAAGAATTCCCCAAGGCTCTCACCAAACGGTTGCAGGCCAAAATGTAAAGAAGAGGAAACAGAGGCACAGAGAGGGTAAGGAGTTTTTCCAGCATCTCACAGCAAGTAGGTGGCCGTGCTGGGATTTGAATCCAGGCAGTCTAGCTCCGTAGTTGAAGTTGGGTGGATGAAGGAGGTTTCTCTGAGGAACAGATATTAACCTACAGTTTACAGTTGCCCGTTTCTTACCTCCTGCTTGCTTTGACCACATTTTACTCAGACTTCTCTCTTTCCTACAGGCCCCTGGACTCTACTTGCCCCAAGCCTGAGCAATGCAAAGAAGAGTGGGGCCCCTGCCCTCATCAGCTTCTCCTGGGCATTGGCTGATCACAGCGAGACGCTTTTCCTGTCGGATTCCACAGGTCCTTTGCCTGTTGGGCTTCCCCTCTAAAGATTGCTAATCTCTACTTGCCTTCCCTTAAAAAAATTTTTTTTTTGAGACAGGGTCTTGCTCTGGTCAGCCAGGCTGGAATGCAGTGGTGCGATCACCACTCATGGTAGTCTTGACCTCCTAGGCCACGCCGTCCTCACACTTAGCCTCCAGAGTAGCTGGGACTATAGGTGTGTGCCACCACACCCAGCTAATTTTTGTGTTTTTTTTTTTTTTTTTTTTTTTTTGTAGAGACAGGGTTTTGCCATGTTGCTAAGGTTGGTCTCGAACTCCTGAGCTCAATCAATCAGCCTGCCTCAACCTCCCGGGGTGCTAGAATTACAGATGTGGGCCACTGTGCCTGCGGTGCTTGTATTTTTTTTTTTTTTTCTTTTTGAGAAGGAGTCTTGCTTTGTCACCAGGATGGAGCACAGTGACGCAATCTCGGTTCACTGCAACCTCTGCCTCCTGGGTTCAAACGATTCTTCTGCCTCAGCCTCCCGAGTAGCTGGGACTACAGGTGCGTGCCACTACGCCTGGCTAATTTTTGTATTTTTAGTAGAGATGGGGTTTCACCATATTGGCCAGGATGGTCTCGATCACTTGACCTCATGATCCACTCACCTCGGACTCCCAAAGTGCTGGGATTACAGGCATGAGCCGCCGCGCCTGTCCACATTCTTTACCCTGTAAAAGAAAACATTTTTCTGCTTGATTTTGAGATGCTCACAGATTTCTGAGCATTCTCTCTATTGCAACCTATTCTCTCTCTCTCTCCCAACTTTATTGAGTGTATTGACAAGTAAAATTATATTTAAGGTGTACAACAGGATATTGACATGCATATATGTTGTGAGATGATTATGACCATCAAGCTAATTAACATACACCTCATCTTATGCAGTAGTTACCTTTTGGTGACAAGGATATTTAAGATCTACTTTCTTAACAAATTTCAAGTACACCACGGAGTATTTTTAACTACAGTCACCATGCAACACTCTATCTTTCTAATAAAAGTCTTTTCCTATCTAAGTTCAGATTTGTCTTTGTTTGATAATGTTTGAGCTAAGATCTGAAGGGGTGGCAGTTGCTAAGTATATGAAGAAGGGAAGAATCGTATTGCAGGTAGAAGAAACAGCACGTGCAGAAACCAGGCATGGCAGCTCATGCCTGTAATCCCAGCATTTTGGGAGGCCGAGCCAGGCCAGCAACTGAGGTCAGGAGTTCGAGATCAGCCTGGGCAACATGGCGAAACCCTGTCTCTACTAAAAATATAAAAATTAGCTGGGTGAGGTGGCATGTGCCTGTAGTCTCAGCTACTCAGGAGGCTGAGGCAGGAGAATTGCTTGAGCCCTGGAGGTGGAGGTTGCAGAGCCAGGAACACATCATTGCACTCCAGCCTGGGTGACAGAGCAAGATCCAGTCTCAAAAAAAAAAAAAAAAAAAAAAGGAAGGAACAGCATGTACAAAGGTCCTGGGGTGGCTGGGAGTATTGAGCACTTGAGGAACTATAAGAAAACAGGTGTTGACAGAAAGAGTTAAACTCTGTAAAATATTTGAAGAGATTTATTCTGAGCCAAATAGGAGTGAGCATGGCCCGTGACCCAGCCCTCAGGAGGTTCTGAGAACATGTGCCCAAGGCGGTCGGGGTACAGCTTGGTTTTATATATTTTAGGAAGGCATGAGACATCAATTAAATACATTTGAGAAATACATTGGTTTGGTTCAGAAAGGTCAGACAATTCAAAGTGAGGGGGTGCTTCTAGGCTATAGGTAAATTTAAACATTTTCTGATTGACAATTGGTTATCTGAAGACCTGGAATCAATGGAAAGAAATGTTCAGGTTAAGGTAAAGAACTGCGGAGACCAGGTTTTGTTGTGCAGAGGAAGCTCTCAGATAGCAGACTTCAGAGGGCAGTTTGCAAAATGTTTCTTATTAGACCTAGAAGGGTGCCTGGCTCTTAGTTGATATTTCTTGTATCTGAGAAGGAAGGAAAACAAGGTGGCTCACTCCTGTAATCCTGGCACTTTGGGAGTCCGAGGAGGGCAGATCACTTGAGGTCAAGAGTTCGAGACCAGCCTGGCCAACATGGCGAAACTACGTCTCTACTAGAAATACAAAATTAGCTGGGCGTGGTGGCACCCACTTGTAATCCCAGCTACTCAGGAGGCTGACGCAGGAGAATCACTTGAACCCAGGAGGTGGAAGTTGCAGTGAGCCGGGATCGTGCCACTACACTCCAGCCTGGACAAAAAGAGCAAAGCTGTCTCAACAAACAAACAAACAAACAAATAAACAGGGAAAGGGGAGTCTCTATAGAATGTGTATTTTTCCCGCAAGAGACTTTGCAGGGCAATTTCAAGGTATGGCAAGGAGATATATTTTGGGGTAAAACATTTTTATTTTCTTCCTTGTTATGCCAGAGTCAGATTTGAAAGTAAGTCACGATATACAGGGTCAAATAAAACCCATCTGATGAAAACGTATGGTTTGTGGGGAATGTCTTCCTTTAGATCGGAATTTTGGCAAGATAAAAAATCAAAGCTTAGTCCTCACAAGGATGTTCAGTGAAATAAACCTCTGGTCAAGCACCCAGTTTTCCTCTATCTTTCCATTCATCTGTCCTCAGGTGTTGTTCACTGATTTCCTTCTGGAGGCAAAATGGAAAAATAAAAAGGAATCCTTTCACCTGATCCTTTTTAAGAGAGAGGAGAACGTCCAGCGATGCCCTTCATCAGACCTCCCTTCCTGTTTTACCGGCCAGAACTGTAATCATGTTCTTACCCTGACCAGTCCCTAGGATTGCTGGTACGATTTAGGCCAATCATAACTCACACCTGGGGCTGGAGCAGGGCGTGGCCTTGAGGAGTCAAGAAGTCTCCTGACCCCTGAACAAAATGAGGAACCTTTGGCCAGGGGGAAAGGGTTGTCTGTAAATGGCAATGGCTGCCACAGGCTGGTACTGATTGGCTGTGCCTTGTGCACTGGCTAGTAACAGGATTGATGGGATAGAATTCACTCTCATTTTTTCAAGATAAACCATGACGCTGAGCGTGGTGGCTCATGACTGTAATACCAGCACTTTGGGAGGGCGAGGTGGACCGATCACTTGAGACCAGGAGCTCGAGACCATCCTGGCCAACATGGTGAAACCCTGTCTCTATTAACAATAGAAAAACTGGCCAGGCTGGGTGGTGGCGCCTGTAGTCCCAGCTACTTGGGAGGCCGAGGCAGGAGAATCACTTGAGCCCCGGAGGCAGAGGTTGGAGTGAGCTGAGATCATGCTACAGCACTCTAGCCTGGGCGACAGAATGAGACTCCATCTCAAAACAAAACAAAACAAAAAACAGTGAAGCCCTATGCAAAGGTTCATTATAATAACAGAAGGCTTTGTGATTATTACAGAAGACTTTGTAATTATTATTTTTGAGACGGAGTCTCTCTGTTGCCCAGGCTGGAATGCAGTGGATCAATCTTGGCTCACTGAAACCTCTGCCACCGGATTCAAGCCATTCTCCTGCCTCAGCCTCTTAACTAGCTGAGACTACAGGTGTGCACCACCACATGTGGCTAATTTCTGTGTTATTAGTAGAGACGGGGTTTCACCATGTTGGCCAGGCTGGTCTTGAACTCTTGACCTCAAGTGATCCACCGGCTTCTGCCTCCCGAAGTACTGGGATTACAGGTGTGAGCCACTGCGCCAGCTTGTTGTTATTGTTATGAATTATTAGTGTAACAGAAGGCTTGTTATTATAACTGTTATTATCAGCATGAGCAAAAGCAACCACACAACTCCTCTGGTTCTCTCCTGCTTCCCTGCCTTGCTCATTAGCAAGAACACAGCAGAGAAGGGCAGTAAAACCTTTCACACACTCAGAGAGCCTGTAAGTGTTTTTGATTATACTAATTACTGCTGGAAAATGGTAGAAGTGGCCAGACTGATCCCCTATGGGAAGCTTCTGTTCCGTGGAGGTGGAAAAAGAAGGGAAAGAAGGGCATTTAATCTGGGACGGGAAACAGTGACAATCCCATTAGCTCTGGTTGGTGGAGGCACTGCCACCTTTGTCCCGTGGTTCTGTGTCCTACTGGACCTCTCACTGATGTGATAAGCCTCCAAAGAATTTATCCTCTAAGAGGCTGTGAAATGGTGGCCTGATGCTGAATTTGGTCCTCATATGTGCCACACAGCCCACACGCACAGTCTTTTATAAATTTGAATCTTCTTTTAAACTCAGGAAATTGCACATAAACTTTCAGATTTCCGGCTTGTCTTGCAAAATTAGAAATTCCAGCCTTTGAGGCCCACATCCCAAATGGCAAAAGATGATGAGAGCTGAGGCGTGGCTCCCCCATGCAGAACTGTCTAGTTTACCACCATCTCCATCCAGCTAGCTTGCCTTCCTCCTTTACGTAACTGGTTGTCCCCATTGGGTTTTCATCAGGAATTCACTCCTGTGATAAGTAAGTTTCATCTTCCCTGTGATTTCAGCAGCAGGGAGGGCGTGGAGATCCATTTAGCACATGATGGAATCAGGGATGGGTGCAGCACTAAGGTCCAGGCATCTCTAGTTCCTGCCAGCACAGCCCTCTGACCCACCCAGCAGGCTAGAAGGCTGTTCTGGCAGGTCTCAGAGCTGAATCCACTAGCCCACATAGCAGAGGGGAAAAAGCTCCGCCATTCTTCCTCCTGGAAGCTTCCATCTAACAATCACACTTGCTGTTTGTGTGCCACTGTGCTAAGCAATGCATTATCCCATCTGATCATTGCACTGCCCTCTAGAACAGAAATTATTATGATCCTCACTCTACAGATGAGGCAACCACAGCTTAGAGACATCAAGTCATTGGCATATGGTCACATAGCTAGGAAGTGGCTGGGAAACTGAGGCTGCAGAGCCGCTCCCTTGCTATTGCAAAGTCACTCAGCCAACAGATGGCAGAGTGGGGATTCCATTTCAGGGCCAACTAACTCCAAAGCCTAGAAGCTCGAAAACTGGTGGCCAGTGGGGCAAACTAGTTTAGCTGGTGATATTTTTGAAAATTTGAACTTTTGGCTTTTTGCTGGTCTCACTGGTCCCCACTTTGTCGCGGGTCCACCAATACTGTTGCCTCACACCCTGGCTTCTTTCCCCATGCGTGCTGCCTGCCTGGCTTCGGGAAGGGCGACAACCTTCGCATCCTCTGCACGTCCTCTTACCTCCCAGAGTTCAGCTCTGATGGGCTTGAGCTCTCAGTTCTAGGACAGAGATGAAGGTCTGTGTGTGTCTCTGCTGTCCCACCCCACCGGGTTCTGGGAGTTGAGAGCAGAGACAAATGGAATACAGTTTGATTCTGTTCAGTTCCATGACTGTGATGCCGTTCCGGGTCCCGAGCTTTAGAGGACTGACCGGGTTGGTTCCAGGACCCACTGGTTCACTGGGGTGGTGGCTGAATTGATTTTATTGTTTTAAATCATTTCTCTCCATTTGAGATTAAATCCAAAGTGATCGTGCTTTAAATCAGGGGTTTTCAAATGCCAGTTGTTTGTTTCAGGTGTGTCTCATTGACTTTTCTGGGAGGAGGTAGGCAGGAAAACCCATGGGCAGGCATTATGGCAGGAGTTTGGGATCAGGCTGAATGGGGCTGAACTGTTACCCAGGTTAACCAGAAAGTCCAAGGACAGGGGTGGATCAAAGTCCAGGAGTGGAGCCCAGGTTGGTCCAAGGGGAAGCAGGGAAGTCACAGGACCAGCGAAAGGCTGGGAATAGGTTGAGAAGCACAGTACAGGGTAAAAGGAAAAGAAGGGGATTGGTTGGAGGTTGAGAACCCAGGCAGGTGCCCGGGAGCTTGCTCTGACACATGCTGTTACGTGAACAGGTTCAGTTCATGCCCCACTGGGCTGCACCATCCCATTGTTCCAGTCATGGGTTCTTAAGGCTTAGAACAGGACTGTGTTAACCAAGGAACAGAAATGCTGAGCTAAGCCAGCTAAGAGGCTTTAGCTGCATGGGAGCGAAAAGCTATTAAAAGAAGCATAAATGATGCCTAAGTTGGCTAGTTCCAAAGTTCAGTGATGTCACCGAAGAGACTCAGGTGTCCTAAAGTGATTGCCCTCATGGTCCCAAATGGCTACCACAGCTCCAGCCATCATGCTGAGCATCCCTCAAGAGACCAGAGAGGGAACATTCCTGTTTTGTTTCTCTTTTGAAGAGTTACAAAACCTTTCCAGAAGCCACTAGTAGACTTCTCATGTCTCATTGGTCAATCCTGCTTACGCGAATAACTGACAAGGAGGCTGGGTTAATCAGATTCATTCTCAGAATCAAGATTTAGTGCCACCTCTCCCTTCTCCACATCTTTTCAGAAGAGAAGGAACAAAACTGGCTATGTCAGCAAGGAAGAAGGAACAGAGATTGGTATTGGGTGCCACAGGGACTCCTACTCACTTCCCTTGCTGAAATCCGATGGCCAATGTGTTCAAGGCTCCCTCTGCTCCTGCTAGTCTAACCACTTCTAAAGCACATCCTCCATGTGTGAAGGGACACACCTGAAGCTGCCCTGCTTGAAGCAGGAGTGAAGGCCAGGAGCCCACGTGGCTCCCTGAGGTTCCCAGAGGCACTTCTCGCTCAGTATCTTTCTCTCTATTTATTTTTTTTTGAGATGGAGTCTCGCTCTGTCACCCAGGCTGGAGTGCAATGGCTCAATCTCTGCTCACTGCAACCTCAACACAGGAAACCTCACCCAGCCTGGACACGGACAGGATTGACAGATCGATAGCTCTTTCTTGTTATATGGGTGGTGGTGCATGGCCGTTCTTAGTTGGTGGAGCAATTTGTCTGGTTAATTCCGATAGTAAATGAGACTTTGAAATGCTAACTAGTAGAGACGAGGTTTCACCGTGTTGGCCAGGCTAGTCTCGAACTTCTGCCCTCAAGTGATCCACCCACCTGGGCCTCCCAATGTGCTGGGATTACAGGCATGAGCCACCATGCCTGGCCCCTCCCTCTATTTTATAGACATGGACACGGAGGCATGGGGGAAGTTAAGTGACTTTGGATACGCTGCTAAAAATCAGTGTATCTCAAATGCAGTGGAAACATGGCCTTGCCTTACTGGGTTAGGACTAAATGAGACGGGGGATGTAAAGAGGCTAGCTCAGGTGCAGCACATATTGGGCACTCAAGAAGGGCAGGTCCTCCATCCTGGTATAGGGGAATGAAAGATGAGGTGAGGCAGGGACCTAAGGTACAGTGATCTGGGGAGGCAGCAGGGCAGGACTCACGGGCTGGCTGGAAAATAAGGTAACCCTTCTGTGGCTACAGAGCAAGGTGTGTGGGCGCCAGACCTCTGGCCTGATAGAAATGACAGCTGGCCTTAGCCCCAGCCCACAGGCACCCTCCACCTGCCTGAGAATCCTCTGAGAATGAATTCTCTCCTCCTCCCAAGTCGGTCTGTACCTGGACAGAAAGCTGATGGGCAGTGGAGGGTGTAGAAATAAACAATGACCAGGTGGGGTGTGGTGGCTTATGCCTATAATTCCAGCACTTTGGGAGACTGAGGCGGGTGGATCACCTGAGGTCAGGAGTTCAAGACCAACCTGGCCAACATGATGAAACCCTGTCTCTTCTAAAAATACAAAAAAATAAAAATAAAAAAATAGCTGGGTGTAGTGGTGCACGCCTGTAATCCCAGCTACTCGGGAGACTGAAGTAGGAGAATCCTTGAACCCGGGAGGCAGAGGTTACAGTGAGCTGAGATCACACCGCTGCACTCCAGCCTAGGTGTCAGAATGAGATTCCATATCAAAAAAAAAAAAAAAGAAGACATAACCAATGACCACACAAGTAAGAACACATAGAGGACTTTTTATTCAGAGTCATAGCAAGGGAGCTGGCCACCACCACTTACATTTGGCAAAGACTCACAGTCAGGCAGAGTGAGAAAGATTTGCAGTGAGAAAAAGGGAAGGCTTCAGGTGTGCCCTCACTGGAAGCTGCTGGCATGAGGGTGCTGGAGGCAGCTAACTAGAAGCCCGACATCCTTTCAAGTTCTGACCCTTCTGGGCCAATCGCTGCAGAGGTGGTGGTTCAGCTTCCAGGGCTGATCACGATGGAGGTTGTAGGGCATAGCTCTGTTATCATATATGGTTTGGCCATTGTCCATTCGATCTCTTAGTGTGCAGAGGGGAGCCTTTCTATATGATTTGGGGCATGTTGCTAACCTCTCTGTGCTGTGGTTTCCTTACCTGTGAATGCGATGTTAATAGTACATCTTTCAGATGTGACTATGTATCAAGTTCTTAGAATAGCACCTGACATGTGGCGAGTATCCAATACAATGTTAGTTATTATTCAAAAAATTATAGGTATGCATGGTGTGGCTCACACCTGTGTAATCCCAGCACTTTGTGGGGCTGAGACAGAAGGATCGCTTAAGGCCAGGAGTTCGAGACCAGCCTGAGCAACGTAGCAAGAGCTCATCTCTTCAAAAAATAAAAGAAATTAGCTGGGCATAGTGGCAGGTATCTGTAGTCCCAGCAACTCAGGAAGCTGAGGCAGGAGGATTGCTTGAGCCCAGGAGTTCAAGGTTACAGTGAGGCACGATTGTGCCACTGCACTCTAGCTTGGGCAACAGAGCAATTTTTAAAAAAGTAGTAGTATTATTACACTCAGTGGAAAGGGCACTGGCCTGGGAGGAAGGCTCTGGGCAACTCTAGTCCTGGTCCTGTCCCACCGCACTGTGACCTCAGGCTTCTTGAGACTCCTCTGAGTCTCAGGCTTGTCAGCAGAGCAGGAGGCTGGGTTCTGGCTTCCAATCCAGTTCCCGGCTCTAATGTTATCAATTTCCCACTGGGCGCGCAGCGACAGCCTGCCATGGCCTCTCCCTCCCCCACACCAGCACTCCATCTACGCACCCAGCACACCTGGATGGGCAGCTGCAGCACACAGCAGGCTCCGCTGTCCCCATTTCAGTTGGTTTCAGGTCCTAAATTTAGTCCTTTTGCAGAAGCCACGGTGTGGGGGAGGAGGGTTCTGGGTAGGTCTGGTCCTGGTTCTGCCCGTCACATGGTGAGTGAGGGCTGTATGGGTGGGGCAGCTCCTCCCCCCATGTGGAGCACACCAAAGTCAATCAGACAGGAGGCCAGGAGCATGAGCACTGCATTCGATTTTGTCATCAATGCATTGGGCGAGTCCTTTGTCCCTTTGGGGTCCTCAGTTTTTCATCTGGCAACTCATTTTTTTTTTTTTTTTTGAGACAAGAGTCTTGCTCTGTCACCCAGGCTGG